CTGCGGGAAAAAGCCCAGTATGCCAGATGGCCAGTCGAGTCCCGCCTCTGACACCCAGTCATATGACATAAATATTAACAGTTATTAGCTTACACTTTATGGTAACATTTGGCTTTCTTAAACAACTGCTCTTTCCATCATAATGACGTCAAAATAAGAAGATCAGTCAGAAATAATGGTTAAGAGTGCTGAAGCAGCCCAGGTACTTATTTCAGATGAACAACTGACAGATGCGTGACTTGGAAGAGTGTGACACAATGCAGCAGATGGACAAATGTGGGATGGCATCTAGAGAATTAGTCATCACACACTTCAGCCTGTACCTTCTACTTCACTATTTCTACACATGCATATACCACGAACATACACACCACTGAAAGTTATAGCATTATAGCTGACTGAGAAAATCACTATTGTATCTCTTTGAAGAAGAGGTCACGGGAGAACTGATTTATATCAAAGGCAGAGAGGGGAACACTAGCAAAAGAAAGCCCATTGACGTATCTCTCAGGTCGCCTACCGATGAAGCCCGAGCAGGCGGAATAATCGCTTGGCAAAAAGGCGAACAAGACATATACAGTACCAGTCAAAAGTTAGGGCACACCTACCCAGAGAAAGAATTATACATTTTAGAATAACCATTGACATCAGAACTATAAAATAACCTATGGAATTATGCACTGATCAAAAAGTATTGAACAAAAAATATATATATTTGTTGGTAGGGGGGCAGCTCTGTGGATTAAAACTCAGAAGGTTGTCAGTTCAAATCCCTGGGTCAGCAGAGTGATCCCACCATTGGGCCCTTGAGCAACGCCCTTAACCCCAGTTGCTCCAGGCACTGGCTGATCCTACTCTCTCACCTACACCGGTTACATGAGGTGGCCTCCTGGGATGCTTTTCCAGCTGTCCTGAAGGAGGTCCCACATATATGCTTAGCTCTCATTGGCCACTTTTCCTACACTGTCTGGTCAGACTCTTCCCAAACCATTTATACTGTGTTTAGGTCAGGTGACCAGGTCATGTGATGTGACACTCATCACATGAGTCATTTTCCTTTGTAGGAAGCTTTTGGCTTGTACTGCATGAGTCTCACTACCCATATGACAGGTCGTAATGACGAAATTATTTGCATTAACGGGCATTAACTGAGTTCCAAACTCAGAACAGCACAATTGTGGTCAGTTTGTAGCTGTGGATACACACATAGAATGCAGAATATGACAGGCACAACATTTAATTATTTTTTTCTTTTGACCTCTGTCCATCCTTTTCCATTTTATCTCTCACGTCTGCTTATCCAATAATGCAGCGATGGAGGAGGTCTGGAGCCTTTCCCAGAACAGAAGGCAGAGCACATCAGAATACAAAAACATACATACACAGGGAAATTTGCAGATCAAGGGGAAACTATTGTAAACCTATGGAACTCCACACACACAGACACAAAGGGCTTGATCTGTGCATTGTGTTAGTGTGTCAGTTTTGCGGAGGCAAACCGTATATATGTAATTAATTAATTAATTTTAACTTTGACAAAGAAGGTCCAGAATATAAAAAAAAGTTTATCAGAAGTTTTCATAAGATAAGAAAAAAACTGTGAAAATGTAAAAGTCTGTTAAAAAATCATTACATTCTCCCATCCATCCATCTATCCATCCATCCATCCATCCATCATCTTCTAACCATTTATACAAGGCCATAGATTTGGGTGTGGCAGTAGGGAGGTGTCCCTGCCCATATTGTGGGAGTACTGTGTGTTTAGGAGGGCAGGGGGTCCGGGACTGATTCGGTCCCTTCCAATGTTGATACCAAACCTATGCCTTTGCATTTATACTGGTTGGGGTCACATGGAAAATTAGAAGATAATTAGAATAAAATCACAATTCAGTAATTCAAAGAGCTGGTCGGTTTTATTTTCTTGGAGTGTGCTTTGGTGTGGTATGAGCCAGGTTAAAGTCTGGGGCAAGCCAAGTTAATTCTCTGGGGTAGTAAGTTTTGGTTTAGGACTCTGAGCCAGTAATCACACGGTTACTGGTTCAGTCACATGGTTTACAAAGTTTGGCCTTTAACCCTGCCTGAGGTGGGCGGACCCTGCTTTCTTCATTGTGCTTAGCTTCGAATAAAAGTCTCTGCCGCATAATTGAATAGTAACAACTATGCTATGCTACTCCTTTTGAAAATACCAACTTGTACTCTGGAAAGGTACTCACATTTAAATGCTTTCTGACATTCAGGAGTCAAGTTTTATTTCATTGTTATTGTTTTTCTAAAGTCGGTATGGTGGTCGTTCTTGTGGTTCACTGACATTTCAAATTATTCCAGTGCTAAGATTCTATACTTCATGACTGCAACAAAATTATTATCTATATATCTATTAATGGCTTGAATAATGGAGTCTGAGTGCATGCTGTTACATGAGGAAATGGTTTGCAGTAATTTTGTTTTATTTTATACACATTTTTATCTTAACCTTTACCCTTTTAAGCATTTCATACCTAAACTTAAAATGCATACCTGTTTCCTGCAGTAGCATACAATTTAATGAGTCGATGAGCTATTAAAGAACTTATGCCGTTAGTCCTTATAACACTAAAATCACGCCCTTGTAGTTAGAAACAGCAACAACAAAAACTTTATATTGTCTCACTTCAAATGGACAAATATTCCCTGTGTTGTTCAGATTTAATAATTTCCATTATTACTGATTCTAAGTTCTAAGAGCAGCATTTTGCACCATCATTGTCACCCACACTATCTTCCCTTAAGTAACTTTAACCTTTATAATTCTTGATTTTTCTTTCGCAGTGGGTTTATAATAGCATGGGATAATTACTCACAGTAGTGGCAATTAAGAACAACATTTCCACTTCATCTATTAGAGACAAACAAAGTCACTTGCAGGTTGGCAGCTGCCAGGAGGAAGTTCTCTTCTCCCGTTGGTACAGACACTCTGGCACAGTGCTGTGTTACCTGCAGTGTGTAATCACAGAAATCTGCTTGGTAGACAGTGCTTTGCCCTGGAGGAATATCCACCGACAGTTTAGGTATCTGGGTCGGGATGGGGATTGGTGCAAGCAGTTGATTACGCTGCTGGGGGTTAAAATTGAAGAAAACCCATCCAAGAAAATAAATGACAAATAAAATCTGTACTGTGTTGCAGAGGTGTGGCACCCACAGAATTCTGCTTAGTACATGGTAGTTAAACAGACTCATTCACTGTAACACCATTTGATTGACACCCCCACATTCACAAAGGTTTACGTAACATCTTTACTTAATGTGACAAACGGAAAAAAAATTACTTCATTATTTGTCATGGCTAAGTGTGAAAAATGACTCTGCTGCAGCGTTAAATATTAAACGCAAGATGAAACATAGGAATAGTAAAAAAAAAAAAAAAAAAAATGAAATACAAGCAATAAATACTCATTTAGTGACGCTCGAATATACAGTCATGGTTTCTTCACTTATGGGCACTTTGTGGCTTTGCACAAGACGTGCACACAAATAGTTCCTTCAACACTCCAGTCAAGAAAGAAAATTAATTAAAATGGCCCACCCACGGCTCTGACCCCAGCGGTTTCTCTATTTCCACTTGAGAATTTTTGGAATTTAGCTCTTGTACTTGCTGCTGATCACTGGCTAGCATTTACTGCTGAAAGATGTGATGGAGATTACTCAGGAGAATGCAGTCATCTGAGCGCGCCTTGGGCCAACCAGAACTCCTGCGGGGTCATGTGGTGTTACCACTCAGCCGCAGGACACCGCATGAGGGGCAGCAGATCTCCTCACACTGTGCTTCCTTTCTCTAGGATCATGTGGTGCTCTCACACACCCACCCTGTACTATCCAGGCTATAAGTAATTCACTAACTTGGTGGCCAAATGACTGTGAATTTGAATACCAAAAGGTGAATTAATCAGCATCCTTAATAACTACCTGCTTTGTATATTTCATGCGACATATGGGTAATGGGTTACAAAAGAAAGAATTTCGTAAATACCGAATATATACTTTTGCATTTTTTAATAATATAATTTTATGTAAACGATACATAAGATACTAAATGTAGTTAAAAGAACAATAAGACAGAATTCAGGTAACAGGAGAGAAAGTGAAGTAAGCCAAAGGACTGATGAGTACGTGCCTCTGGTACGGTTACATTTTGCAATATTCTTCAACCAGTGCAACATTAGACAGACTAGCTCCGATTCCCATGTTTCTAAAATATATACGTGGATCTAAAACCTGCAAGCAAATATATTAAACAATTTATTAATGCCTGCAATGAGTTGAGCCCATCCTGCGTTATTAGCTGTAGCCTCTGGGATAGACTCTGGACCACCAACATAAAACGAGCAGATATAGAAAACGGATGAATGGAGTTTAATACATAAAAAATAAATATAGGGCTACAGAAACTGCATTCTGCTGGTCAATAAATCATTATCATGGGCAAAGTGGTTGTGACAACATTCTAAGCGGTTGTTTTGCTCGTGTAACAATGTCTTTTATGAAAGATGACAATTAGACAGTTATATATTTGATATCCTGTTTGCATGAAATGAACAATGTATGGCGGAATGTGGGTTAGAGAAGTACAGAGACATTGTCATGGAGTGCAGAAAAAAAAACAAAAAAACAATAAAAACAAAATAAGAAAAATAAATAAAAAGCAGGGAAAATCCAGGAAAAGAGCAATCCGGTGTAAAAATGCAAGCATCTTTCGTCACAGAGAGTACGAACTCGCTTTTCCATTATTATATAAACTATATTTTCATGTATTTCTCGAAATCCGGACAGTAAGATATCTTAAATACTGCTATGAATACCTGCTATTCTGTCTATCGGAATTATCACCTATGTGCTGATGAAGGGCTGCTCGGCTTCGGAGAGCACAGGTGTTTCTGAAGGTGAATGTTACGTTTTCAAGGTGAAGGACATAAATTACTACAAAAAAAATGTAATAAATAAATGAACCACGTGTCCGCGTATGACATACCACGTTACGAGGAAAAAGTTGCAGCCGAGGATGAGAAGATTTTAGTCTAAGAAGGGGATGGGACTCCACGATGCGATCAGGGCTTAGCAGCGGCTGCTATTTTACAAAAGAAATAAAAGCAAACATAAACCTGCCACCCTAATGTTTTATTTTTATAGGCATCGTGTAGCCAATGCAGACATGGAATCTGGTTTGAGACCAATCAGGACTTTGTAGGAAAAAAAGAGAACGATTTTACGTTTTTATTGTATGTGTTATATCTGTAAATACCTCTGCGGTTGGCATTCTGGGCGAATATAAGGCAGAATTTTAACATTGCAAATCGTGAGTTAATTAAAATACCGGGGGATCCCCACTATATTAGGACACGGCTGGCCGGTTTCAGATCCCTGTGCTGAGCGGTATTTTGGCGGCGACACTTGCAGACACACAGGCGGCTGCCCGTTCATAATCCACACTCAAGCATGAGGAGCTCAGCCCGGACCTGCACGGTGTGAAACCAGCTCGGCCGTTTGCAACAGAACAACAAGGCAGAGAATAAGGGGACAGGCGCCGCTCCGCTCCTGGTCATGACCATGGACCCTGACAAGAAATGCAACGTGTCTAAAAAAGCAATAATTGCAAAGATTTTCAAAGTTCGCAAGAGGAGAGAAATGCTCTTTATGCAGGTCTGCTTCATCTGCAGTATCCTCTTCGTGGCGTGGTGCATGTCAATCTTGATGGCCAAAACAGGTGAGTATACTAGTAGAGGATTGTTTGTGGTCACCACTGATCGTTCCTCAGTACAAGAGCACACGCTTATATATACAGCAGGTACAGCAAACTGCATCCCCAGATCTTCTGCTGAGATAGATGATATGGACATATTTTAATATCAGATATCTATCTATACTGTATTTGACTTGAAATGTAAAACTCACTTGGTAATTTAGATATTTTGTCGTGAGAGATTGGCAGACATCATCCGTTGCAATTTATTCCTTACAATCAGAGAGCGACTGACGTTATATGATTTAGCAGTTTATGACAGCGATGGTGTTTGGCATTCATGCGTGTGTAGGCTGTGCGCGATCGGCTCGTATTTGACAGAAGCACATGCGTCTCCTAACCTGCTTCTTTGAACCTTGGTTATCTGTTTTCGAGAGGTGGCCTTGAACCGGGTGGTGTAGGTTAAGGAAGCGAGGATTTCCGACCGCCGTGTGCGCGCCCGCGTGAGCGCGCGTGCCTCCGTGTCGGCGTGCCGCAGTGTGCGGGACCCCACATACATCGTCCCTAAAAATTATTATAAGCCACTAAAATCACAGTTCCCCAAATGATCGCAGTATGTGTATTTTGTATCCCGAAAGTGATGCCTTGCATGTTGAATACTGGCCTCACTGCCGTTTGGGGACTCAGGAGTGTCACTCGATAACTGTCTCATCTCAATAGTCACGTATTTGTGTAATTTGACCGAGCTTCTGATCTGATCTTTTAATTGAAGATGGGGACTCTGTCGATGGAGATAGGCAGTGAATTATATTGCATGTTCCTTTGGCTGAGCCTGTCAGCTGTGTTTGGGATACATTTTTGAAAACTAGGAGACCACGCTTGTCTTACAGCTATATGCTTTTTTTGTCTCTTTCGTTTATAGGTAAATTTTAACATAACGCAAAAACAGAGAAAAATCTATTAATTTTCAGATAGTACAACAAAATAGTATAAATCTGAGAAGATGCATGTCTGTTTACCTTGGGTGATTTGTTAAGATACCATTATGATAAATTGATTCCATATTCAGTTGTCTGCTGTGGAAAACACATTTGGTTTTATTTCCATGGTGTCTTAACACATTTGTTATAGTTATGATATATATAGGTTCTATATCTCTGAAGGCGACTTCCATTGCCCTGCAGTTCACCTACTGAGCAAAGACACATTTTCCACATTATTGTGTATAACAGTCTGCATCCCTACTGAAACAGAGTAAAGCTCTGTTTACAACATGTAGCAATTTTTACTGGAAAATTGCGTTGGGTGGTATTTAAGAAATCCAAACTTGTGACAAGATTATCTAATCTCGGCGTTTGAGGCTCTCCCGGTTCCTATACACCCTGGCTCTTAACGGATTAGAGTAATCACTTGGATAGAAAATATCGTTTTCTGTTCAGGCATAGCTGTTTTAATTATTGGGTCATGTTCCAGTCAGCAGTTTTCTGTTACTTGCAAAAGGCAGATAAATTTATCCTTATTAAAGTTTAATACATTGAGCATCTATCCACAAGAATACTCAGACAGCTGCAAAACCTGTTATTGCGAGAAAAAAAAATTACAGGTACCAGCTAACAGGCCGTCGCAGCCCATGAAAAAACACCAGTATGCATCGTTCATATGCCAACTGGAAAATATTGTATGATAGATTAATATGCAGACATTTCAGTCAGTACTGTTGCTGTTCATATGTCTGTGAACCAGAACAATTATCCATGGTTTTCTGCATATATATATATATATATATATATATATATATATATATATATATATATATATATATATATATATATACACAGTATATATAAGGGAGATTATACACTCTTTCAGTTTGATGGGTCACCCTGTCATTCTTCCCAAAATGTTTGCCTTGTGCTTTTTTTCCTGGAGTTTAGATGTGACATCTTGCAGACATTTGGCCTGTTATTCTTTATTGTTTACTGTTTGTTTGCATTGTATGTACCATGAGGGATACTGGATGGATGATCAATATCAATAACTGTGTACAGCCCTTATTGTTATGGAGATAGGAATGTTTAATAGCAAAATCAAGTGTCTATCAGACACCACAATGAAAGTTTTCTTTTAAGTAACTATGCATTTCTAACTTCTTCTGGGCATTGTTCACCGTTTTACAAAACAAATTTAATAGCATTGCTTAAAGATAATCTATAATTATTTGCAAATGATTACAAACATGTGCTTTGTTTTAACAAAACCCAATAAAATAAATGAAGGGAATACGTATCACATGCATCTGTAAAAACAAAATTTAATAGAAAAAGTGTATTTGATCAGCACTCGATTGTCCTTGATGTTGTGTGGGGGCTGTATCATGGCGGTTACATATTCAGCAAGAGACCATGTGCAAAATCAAACCTTCTGTTTCAGCGCAAGTACTGATCAGGCCATTTTCTGTGGCAGAACATCCATTATATAGAGCCTGTCCCAATATAAGCTAACTCTGTGCAATCATGACCCCGGTTATGTAATCAGACCACATATTATGAGAAAGAATGACTGTATCTTAAGGCTTTATTTTGAAAGAGTTATTTCGTAATCCTCTGTAAAGAACAGGAGAATGAAATCTGTTTGGTGGATGACTTCATCCTAACGAGGTGTAACTGGTTCGTTGGAACAGCACGGCAGGCTACTGGCAGACAGCAGAGTTTAGACTTCTGTTCAAGGAATGGGAGGTGACTGTGATGTTTTCATATATTCAATTCAGCATGTTAAGCAGAGCTTTAGATATTTGACTAACACTTTACTTGAGGGGACACAAATAACATAGTATTATGCTCTTACTTATGTATTAATTAACCACAAACCAAGACTTAGTAACACACTTATCTCTTGTTTGTTCATCATTAATGAATCGTGATGTACATTTTATCTCAAACAATTACTGTTGTTGTTAATATATCTGTTTTGTAAATCACTGTGAACTACTGAAGGAACTACAGAAGGAACTAGTATCAATGCAAAGAAAGTGATCTTGTGTTTGTTCATTAATGAATCACGGTGCATCTTTTATCTCAAGCGGCTCATGTTTTTGTTCATGACTTGTACTTCAGTGGTAACTGAGTTACTACTAAGTGTTTGTGGCCCCTCAAGTGAAGTGTTTCCGATGTTTGATTAAAATGGAATAACACACGTCTTCTCTGGGGATCCTAGAGGCCCTCCCAGGACATACAGGAGGCCCAGGCCAGGACGCCAGTCCATCACAGGCCACACAATCACACACAATGAGCAATTTACTGCATGGCCCTGAGCTACATTAAAATCCAGTTTTTGGAGGACACGCCTCGCCAGCCCTTGGAGGAATATGCAGATTTCACACACCTGGGGGACTGGGGCTTGAACCAACAACCCTAGAGCGGATGTTAATAACAGGATGGGATAGTTTGAATTTCTTGTAAGAATGAATGCGCAAATAAGCTTATGAATTCATTGTTTTTATATTATCGGTGAAAAACAGAGTTGCTCAAGGCCTATGGATTAGAAACGTATCCCAATCAGGCACAGGTGGCAGCTGTATTACTAATGGGGAATTAATGTTGAGGAGCCAGCTGTGCTTACAGGGGAAAAGAGCAGGCATGCGGATGTATGAAAGCACAGAGATGGAATCGTTTGGTGACGTGTTAATAATGTGTTAATTTTCCTGTGACCTTATCAGGTAGCTTCAAGAGAGTTAACTGCCTAAAACCCGGCCTTATAAGACTGGGGTAACACTTTACTCAAGGCCATGTTTTTAGTAATTTATTAACACATTCATAATGCATTATAATGCATTCAAAAAGCGTTATAAACATGGCTATAAACATTTATTATCATAAATATCATATTATCATATTATTATATTAGCTCTCATCTATAATGCACTATAGATACCGTTATAATGCATTATATTTTTCAGTATACTGTAAGGGTGGTTTAATACTGCATTATAAAGGTATCTAGTGTATAGTCATAAAGCAGTGGTGGCCTAATGGTTAGGAAGGTGAAGTTGTAATCAACAGGTTGCTGTTCAAATCCCCAACCAGCAAACTACTGCTGCGGTGCCCTGAGTATGCTTCTGCTCCCTGGGTGCTGAGTTAGCTGCCCCCTGCTATGTCACAGTGTCACATATGGGTTAAATGCAGAGGATGCATTTCACTGTTGTGTGGGGAGTGTCAGCAATGACAACTAATACTTCACTTCATAATGCATAATAAACATGGCTATAATGTGTTATGCCTTTTTATAAATATTTATTGCCACGTTTATAATGCATTATAAGTGCCTTGTAATGCATTGTGAATGTGTTTATACGTGTTTATAAACATGGCCTTATATGAAGTGTTACCAACATTTTTTAGAGTGCTGTCCTCTGCTTCGCCTGATTTCACTAAGCTAACGATGATGTGCATTTTATTCTTCTTAAATGTTCAGCTGCATACACTGTTAGCCCTTATACTGTTTGGTCTTCATTAACATAATTAATGTAAAAGTCTAAATTAGCTCTCTCTCTCCGATGTAGGACTTTATGAACATTCTAGTTGCACAATGAAGCAACAGAACATACAGAGGAATGACTTGGTTGCAAATTTTAAAAGTTTTGTTCAGTACATTGATTATGTTCATTTGTATTACAACAATATTTGCAACAGCAATAAAGGGCTTCATCAATCAATCAATCAATCAATCAATCATCAATCAATCAATCAATCAATATCTATGTTTTGTTTGTCATTTTACATTTATGGTTCATGAGATATTTACAAAATAACTAAACCATGAGCAGGGGATATTAAGTAAAAAATCTGTTATACTAATTGATATAATAGAGAAAGGCATTTAAATCAATTGAAAGCACAATTACAATTATCACATTATGTTTTAGATAACTTTAAGTAGGTTAAGGGTTTGTTCTTAATAAAATGATATGCTGACTAATAAATTTAATAGTAATTGTAAAAGAGTATACTGTAATTTTGGGGAATTACCATTTCTTTTCATTGATTTATTTTGCATAATCACCGAGGCGATTAACATGGTGATCTTGAAAAATGTAGCAAAAGTGGTAACTTTTCTCCATCTGTAGATAATTACATTGACAACATTGCATTGATACCATAATTGCTGATCAATGAGTATCGGTAATTACTTACATTATCAATCTTTTCATTGTAATAATGATGGGACAGTGATTCCACATCCAGTGTCAGATCAATTATAAACCTGTCTTTGACACTTCGACCTCTTTTTTTATAAGGCCTTGATCTGAATCCTTGTTATTCATTTAAAGGCTTAGATTTCTTTATTTAATCTGATCATTGGAAAGTCCTTTTTAGTTAATACTATATTATTTTTCTGTCTTATGTTCTGTAAATACAAATTAGATTAATATAAACTTGAGAGTGCTTATGATATACCATTTATTTGAGAATTATGGGTTTTAAGAAACCCAATGAAAGACCGATCTTCATACCGATCTTCATACCGATCTTCATACCGATCTTCATACCGATCTTCATACCGATCTTCGTACTGTCATGTACATACTAACAGTGATAACAGTGAGCATTAAAACTTACAATAATGAACAGTTGAACAGGAAAAGCCAGTGAACCAAGCAAGTAATGTGAGATGTAAGTCCAACATCATGTATACCTTGATAAGTGAGGATCTTGCTGTAAGGTGTAAGGAGCAGATGTGTCAGGTGAGGCTTCTCTACCATCTGCGGCATATCAGAGAAGCCCTCTACCTGTGCATGGAGGTGACCAGATGTCCTAATTTGTGCATGACCGTTCAGAATTTTAAAATACTCCTCTGTGTCCTGCAGCAGTACATACTGTATCTCACATTTCAAGCTAAATGATAAATTGGACATTTGAGATCAATGTGATTTTTTTTTAATTAATTTCAAGGTGCAGCCGTGCAGTGAAGCACCATTGTGTACGTTTAACTGGTTTTCCATGAGTAAACAATGTCGCCACGCTATTCGTCTGCAGCTGCTACATCAGCATGGAAAATGGAAAATGTGAAAATCCAGGCTGAAACTTCACTTTCTGGCAGCAATTGCCATTTGGATCAATGGTGCAGAGCAAAAGGAAATAAAACTGTCACTGCAATAAGGACTCGGAGGGAACTTTCAGATCTATGCTTTACGACACATAGACGGCTTAATTCATTTTGCACTCTGCATTTTTTTTTTTTCCCAATTTTCCTTGGAGAAGAATGGCATGTTAAACAGTTCTCCCATTGTGATGCACATGAGAAATGCAGCTCGATAAGAGAGAGGAATATAACGTAGATTTTTTTTATGATAGCTTGACTTATAGTAATTAAACTGTTGCATCACTCTGTTCAGCGTGGCCGTTCAGATCATCCGGCATGATGTCGAGTTCAGCTAGATCAGAAACAGAAAAACAACGTGGCCAAATACATGGTTCTGTAGCAGGGGCAGATTGGCTTCTGTCTTTGTCGAGGGTCGTTAGACGGTCATCCCAACCTCATATAGCACTTTACCATTCTATCCTGTCATACCATATGCTTCCAATAATACTGTCACAAAACCAGTTTCTTTGGATGTATAAGACTTGACAGCAGCAATAGGTTAAAGAATAGAATCTTACACTTGTATGACAACCATGAAGACCCATCTGAAAGCCATCTACAGCAAGATAACTGCAAGTCTAGAAGACAATGGGCTCAGTTGGGAAAGGATTTCTTCATGCACAGCTGACAGAACTAGTTTAAATTTCAACTCCAAAACTCAAGACAAAATTGTAGGGAAGTATGAAGGAAAGCTGTAATGCTCATGCCTGTATGCACCTCTGTAGGTTGTGAAGAAATGCGTAAAACTGACACAGATATCTGAGCCGGTCGACAGGTGATATGAAATCTGTCTTTCTTGGAAGAGCTTCGTTGTATAACCTGGACAAGCATAAAGCCTTTATTAGCCAATGACAACAGTAGAAGGCAGATACCAGTGTCACGGGTTTGGCTGTCGTACCTCCAAAACAGTCAGTTCCATCAGGTTGTAGTCCTACTGGAAGGCAATGGACTGACTGAGCTGTGAGGCATGAACTCTCAGAAACAAGCTTTATTATTATCAAACTGACAGTCTGGCACTTTTCTTGGACATTTTCCAAGAAGCAAAGCATCAGCGTTTTAATGCTACACTTCCATATATGTTCCATATATGGTTTGATTTTTGTTATGATTACCAGAAGAATTTGCAAGCATATTGTGACATTTATGCAAAAACGAAATGGTGGGTAGACTATTTATCATTTCTGAATTTATTAAAAGAATGTAAATTTATTTCATGTTGACAAATTTTACACAACCACTGAAAATGTCTTTAGTGTTATATAAGGGGTGAGAGGGGGCCTTTAAATCTGAAGTAGCTAAATTATAATAACAAGTGGCACTTCAAAGATGACTCAGCTCTGAAAGGGGTCTGAAAATGGGCATTTTGATATACAACTTTTAAAAGCAACCTGAGGCAACTAGAATAGCTGCAAAGAGGCAAAATAGTGAGTGGTACAATTGTAAGTGCTTAATCGTAAAAACTGCTAAATTAGTTACTGTGTCAAGGGAAACAGTCTTCGAAATCATGAAAAGATTCACACAGACAAACTGCATTACCAAAAAGGTAATAATTATGGCAAGACTGCAGTTCGGAAACCACTTATATACAAGGTTTATATATATATAGGTGCACAACCTGGTGTAAAGAGCACAAAACTTGGACTCCTGAGCAATGGAAATATGTAAGGGATAAACCACAACGAGGTTTATATGGAAATATTCAATGACAACTTGATGTAGTACCCAAGTTGGTGTAATAACTAAGTTGGAGTTAATTTTTTTCATATTACCACACACCTCAAAGTGGTTTTATTCCGCTTATACCACAGCTAACAAACAGAAAATAATAACAGAGTAAACTAGTGCCACAGAGACCGTCAACAGACAGGTGCTGATAACTTATTTAAGAGTAAAAATTCAGTTTATAATAACATGTTTAATAAAACATTAAAACACATTAATATAAAATTGTTATTAGGTTGCTGGAACACAAAATTAATCAACACCCACATGTTATCTCTGGATCAATAAAAAAAAAAGGATTTACCAAAGTCGTGGTGTATGGTTGAAGCAGGGTTTCGCAATTCCAGTGCTGGAGGGCAAGTCTGCAACAGTTTGCAGATTTCTCTGCTCAAACATACCATATTCTACTCACACGCCAAGTGCCAGGTTTAGTAGGTGTGTTTGAGCAGGGAAATCTGCAATCTGTGTTGTAGACTCTGGTCCTCCAAGACTGGAATTAGGGAGCCCTGCGTTAATGGTGGAGAAATCCAATGAATGCCTTCAGCCCCCAAAGCCTGTTGGTTTGGACAGACATCTTGTGGCAGTCTATTGATTGCTCTGCATTGTCATACAATGGCCAAGGAATAAGAGACTATTTACCAGGGCCAGATGCACCCTATTGTGCAATCAAGGTACCTTCATGACGTTCTAGTCATGCCCGGAAATACACTGTCAAAGAGATTCCAATGTAATACAAAGTTGAAGTCAAATGCCTTGCATGGCCTCCCCAATCAGTAGCAGAGTGCAAAGCAGAATTCCACCTTCTTTATCCCTTGAAGTCCTGGAACCTTTCATTCATGCTGATTGGTCTAATATCACACTGTACTTACTTTAGGACTTGTATCACAGCTTTCCAACAAGGACCGAAGCATTTCTGAAGACAAATGAATGCCCTACACTGTAACAAATCCTGGACATTATTATGTTTGGTATTTTCCATTCCCATCATTTGCTGCCTCAAGTAATGGAATGAAAAATATAATTAACATATACATGCAGTACCGGTCAAAAGTCTGGACACACCTGCTTTTAATGCATTTGTATGTTTTAGCTTTTATTCACCTTTAAGGCCATGAGCTAATGAAGTAATATGTATAAAATATTACAAGGACCAAGGAAAGTAACATTTCAGAAATTTCTAAAATTTCAGACTCTTCAAAATAGCCCCCCTTAGCTTCAATGACAGCGTTGCAGGCACTCTCTTTCAGACAGCTTGCAGATGTAGCCACCTGGAATGCTTCTCCAGCAATCCTGAAGGAGTTTCCACAAGTTCTAAGCACAAGTTGGCTACTTTGCTCTTACTCTTCAATCCAACTCATCCCAAAGCAGCTCTATAGGGTTTAGGTTGGGGGATTGTGGGGGGGGGGGGCAGGTCATCTGTCACAGCACTCCATCTCTTTGCTTATTCACAAGATAATACAGTACCTAAATACAATTCAAGGTTATCTTGTTGAAAAACAAATGATTTTCAGTAGGTTTGTCCACACATGTATATTATATAACTTTAATTGTTTGCATTCATCCCTGCTGTCAGTACTATTGCAAGTGTTCGCAGTAAGGAAAGTGTACTTGCTCTGTTTCCTTCTAATACATGAGTAAAGCTGCATTTCTTAACCCACAGGTCATGGACTGTTAATTGAGGGGGGCTCACGGCAGCCCTGGGGGCGGAAATTAATGGCCATGATGGAAGACAACGACACCGAAGAAGTGAAGAACTGCACCGAGCCAGGTAGGCTGTTACCGTGATGGGGGGGGGGGCTGGTGCAAGGTGCCCCTAGGGAGACGGGGTGGTGGGCAGGTCATCACAATTAATTCATCTGTAACTAACGTCGGACCTCAGGTCGTATAGGAACCTAAACCTTTACCGCCTCAAAATAGGCAGTAGCTTAAAAAGGTAAGCGGCTAACATACAAAATAACCATTTTTCTAACTAAAACAAATTACAAAATGCCACAGCACTGCCCCGAGTCTCCCTGACTGGCACACAGAGCAGACTTACTTTACGTATCAGCTAGATGACTGTAGGTGAGTAGAAGAGCTTGTCCTCTGTCCGTACACCTTCACCAAAACATCCATGCCCTCTATGCATCTCTCATGTCGTTATCAGTGTCTGTGGATTTAAAAACATTCTTAGCAAAAATAAATGAATAAAAGATTTTAACTAGGTGACTTTATACAGTATTATACATTATTGTTTAGTACAATATAAAATCACAGTTTTGTTTCAGTTAGTCCCATCATAAATCACCATGCAGACTGTCGTGTTTATTGTAAGTTTACTATGAAGAGTACACTTTGGACAATAAAACTGCCCGATATTAAGGTTCCATAAATTTATCAGCATTGGTGGAAAATCCATCGCTAAAGCCCCGGTGGAAATCGTAAATTACACAGCCAACAAACAATAAAAATTAAATTTACAATACTGAAGTGAGTAAAATCCATAAAGAGCGAAGCAAACTCCATAATTATGCAAGCAAATCATGCATGATATACTGTAAGAGCTGTTTGTGATCAACTGGGAATAGAAATACCATATGATAACACAAAAAAATTATGACGCAGGAAAAAAAAAAAACATTTTTGCTCCTGGCAAAATGAACAAATCCAGGTAATACTGTACATATTGCCCCTGTTTAACAGCTTTCTGATCAGGTTTGCACAAATAACTCACCAATAGTGGTCAGAGACTAAGCTAGCTTGGAGAACCAGTACAAATTGTGTAGGCTGCAGGGTTTCACCAGGGTTGTGGAACATGAAAATACTTTCTTTCTGTGTTTGTTTATCTGTTTCGAGTGGGTACAAGGACCACAGAAGGACCCATGTTGTATTTGGCTGACCAGGGGAAAGAGGATGTTTGAAAGGTCTGAAAAGTGGAGGCCGCTCTTCCGTCTGTAACTATCACTGGTTGAGTGAGTGTGCGACACGAAAATGTTACAATGATAATTGGAAATCTGAGCTTTGATCATTCCATACATCAGAAGATAATGGGGCCGCTATTTATATATGACTTAGTTGACCTTCAAGCCTAATTTAGCCTCGTGTTTTTCTGTAGTTTTGAAGAACAGCTACCCAAACTTCAGTTTGCTACCTTCGAGTAATGAACCGTTTCTGTTTCTGTTTGAAGAACAGCTACCCAAACTTCAGTTTGCCACGTTCGAGTAATGAACCGTTTCCGAGGAATCAAAGGAAAATGGCTGTCAGGCAGCAGGCCAGATGTAAAGGGCATACGAGGAGAATGCTGGCAGCATTCGGCTAATGTAGCATTCGGCAACACAGCCCTTAATTCATAGATATAAAAGGGACGTGTCCAACTCAGCGACTGGCAGTAAAATGAGCTCAAGGTCAGTAAGAGCTTTACTCCCTATCAGGGTCCAACAGCAGTCCACTCAGCTCGGAGGCATCTGTCTTTTGACAAGGCAGAGACGTCCCAGCACATTATTTACAGTGAGGTCAAGGAAGATGTTAAGGTGACTGTGACATTACTTAAGTGCTGCTGGCTCACAATCAATGTGACAGTTTGGCTTAGTTCCAGGTAAGATTGCAGACACAGATATAATTTCTTGCCAATTTGAAGACATACTCAAGGATATCGCTTACTGAAACACCCATGGTTTTCAGAGATGAATATAAGTAAAATCCTAGGCTTCTCCTATGTTTCACGCTCAGCAAAAAATAACCACCATTCTGTAATATGGTGATAAAATACACAAAGCTATGAATCTATACTGTTTTCCTTAAGGTGGTGTCGACTGTCTCCTAATGCCATATGGTTCTTTTTTGTATAATCTGAATCAACATTTACTCCAGTTAAACACATTTTGTTGCATCCTCTAGTGATGCTAGCAGTTTATGTTCTTGTGGACATCACTGTGTAAATATGGATTTTCCTCATTTGTAATTGCTCTGAAAGAAGCAGTTTAACTCACTATTGTTTAACTAAATTCTATGTTTGCACATGCACAGTAAATTCCTTTAGTGTTTCCTCTAAATACACAAATTGTTTTTTTTTTTTTAGGTAATTTTACTAACTGGTTTGTATGATATGTGTTGGTATTAAAATGGTTAGATTGTGCTTTTGGAAAATTAATGATGGAGCTGTTTTTATAAGCTTAAGGTCTTCCCTTTTAGTGCAAGCAGAAAGAAAGTGACTCTTCATCTGTAATCCTGCCCTGCTTTAATCCATTCTCCTTAGGGATCGTTGCTCCTTGTATCCTCATCAGAATAAGAAAAAAAGGAATAAGAAAAAATAAATCTCTGCATTGCTGTTGCTATGGAGATGGTCGTATGCTTTGTCCATAATTTGACAAACCTCGTGTCACGTAAAGGTTGCACTGCTATATGTGGTCAGTTTTACGGCCTTCACTCAATTCAATTACTAATCGTACTGGTAGCACTTTATACTAACAGTGCCTTCATAATGCCTTTATAGTGCATTCGCAGAACATTCAGTGCCTTGGTTTGCCTGGCTGGGTGAGGTTGGTGCGAAAGAACTTGACTGGCTGGCAGAGAGCCCTGACCTCAACCCCATCACACACCTTTTGGATGAACTAGAATGGAGACTGTGAGCCAGGCCTTCACATCCAACATTAGTGTCTGACCTCACAGATGCTCTTCTAGATGAATGGGAAAAAAATTCCCACATACACACTCCAAAATCTTGTGGAAAGTCTTCCCAGAAGAGTGGCAGCTGTTATAGCGGCAAAGGAGGGACCAGCTCCATATTGATGCCTATGGATTTAGAATGGGGTGTCATAAAAGTTCCTGTGGGTGTAATGGCCAGGTGCCCCAATAGTTCTGTTGATATATTTGTCTTTCACAACTGTAGTATGCATTAAAAGCAACATTATATGATAATAACACACATTATAATTTTATAATCATATAATGCTTGTTATTAATGTATTTTAAAGCAGTTAAGGTATGTTAGGATGTTAAGTTATACTTACATGTTGCTTATGAATGTTCTCCATCCATCCATTTTCTGCAGCCACTCGTCCTATTCAGGGTCACAGGGGGTCTGGAGCCTAACATGGAGGCTACAGACACAAGACAGGGAACAACCCAGGATGGGTCACTAACCCATTACAGGGCACAAGGCAGGGAACAACCCAGAATGGTCACTAACCCATCGCAGGGCACAAGGCAGGGAACAACCCATGATGGGTCACTAACCCATTACAGGGCACAAGGCAGGGAACAGCCCAGGATGGGGTGCCAACCCATCGCAGGGCACAAGGCAGGGAACAACCCAGGATGGGTCACTAACCCATCACAGGGCACAAGGCAGGGAACAACCCAGGATGTGTCACTAACCCATTACAGGGCACACTCACACACATATGCACACCTACAGGCAATTTGGTAACTCCAAGTAACCTCAGCAAAACACCTAGAGGAAACCCCACGATGCCCCAGAGAGAACATGCAAATTCCACACACATGGAGCCATGGTGGAGACCCTGGTCCCAGAGGTGTGAGGCAACAGTGCTAACCACTGCGCCGCTGCACCACCCCTGCATTATGAAGGTGTACTGAATGTTCTATGAATGCATAATGAATGTATTATGAAGGTGTACTGAATGTTCTATGAATGCATAATGAATGTAT